TCAAAAAAAAAGAAAAACTCACTTGATTAGGTCAGGCCCACAGCACTCATGGTATTGCAGGGTCTATACACCAGGGAGGGAATCTTGGCAGCCATTTTAGAATTCTGCCCATCACATTCCTAAACCCAGCGATAGCTGTTGCACTTCAAGGTCAGAAATATCTCCACAAGTTTCTCCTGAAAAAGGCTGAGAGTTGGTCATAAGGACATCTCAGAAAAAGTCCAATTTCATCTGTTCCAGGCTCCTCCCCACACCCTCAGCCGCTTCCACACAAGACAGCGCAATAGAAATATTCTGAAGCATAATTTTTATTCTCCACTCAGACCTGAGTCTATTTAGCACCACAATCTCTTTTTCAAATTGCCAGACTGTTATTTCAAGTTCTTTGCTCTTTGCTACAAACTCACATACTTCTCTTTTGTAGGAGATGCAAAGAGAGTTCTGCTAGGTTGGTACCTCCCAGGAGAGCAGCAGAGGATTAACATAAACATTTAGCAGTGTGGTCCAGGATGCTGCAGCTGGGTGAGACCCCAGCCCCAGCCCAGGGGTCAGTCTCTGAAAAGACAAGGGGAGGGGTGGGAAGGGGTGAGCCTCTGCCCCCCACCCCCACCTGGGGGCAGTCTTTCTTTCTGTTCCTAGCCCACTGCCTCCACAATTTCCTGCATACATTCAAGAAAATGTATGGGTGCAAGAGCCTGGAATTCAACAGCTCATAACTACAATTAACCACCATTAATTAATGACTGTGAGATAAATGAGCCATACGATCCGTTTATTCCTGGGTTGTAAGTATTTAAATTCACAGTAGGATGCAAGCCCATTTTTCACCACTGTGAATTTAAAACAGGTCTGAATCAGCTGCGTGTTGCAGCAGACAGGGGACAATTTCCCCTCTGAACACGGCCAGGGGCCGGTGGAGGCAAAGCCGCACCCCACGCAGCAGAAGTGGGAGAGGGGCCTAAAATCTGAGCACAGAACTTCCTGTGGAGACATGCTATGTGGTGAAACCAACTCAGTGCCAGGCCCTGTGCTATAGGCAGTGTGTGATGTGAACTTCCCAGAATTCTTATGACAATATGGACTTTATGCTCAAGGACACTGATGCTCAGGTAAGTGAAGGACTGCTGGAGCAACCAAACCTTTCCTCCCCCTCTCTGGATTTCCTCCAGGGTCCCCCAAAGGTGTACCTTCAGACATCCTGGTCCAGGTTTTCACATCTCACCTGTGGCCTGTATCCTGAGTTACCAAGACTCTCCAGGTAATAACTGAATAGCCTATTTGACCCTAGGTTATCAATCCATCACTGGCTGTAGACACGACTCAGAACACGGGAAAAGAGGAAAAGGAAAGATTTTGATCTTACTTAGTAGAAACCAAAATGAAATGTAACTTCTGGGGAAGAAACTGGGCAGTCATCGTCAAGGTCCCATCACCAGCGATAAGACGCAGCAACATCAGGGGACCCTGAGACTGAAAAGCACATAACGTCTCTTCTGTGATGCTCACCACCCCCAAACACCGCCTGATTGTGAGGGAGAAAAATGAGGCAAATCCAAGTGGAGGGACAAAATACGGACACCAAAAGGGTCAAGGTCATAAGGACAAGTGAGGAATTTCAACAGTTTCGCGGACACTGAGGAAGCATGACAGCTAGACACAGAATCAGATTGTGGATTAGTGCGCGAACAGAAAAAGGACATTGGGACAAGCTCTCAACTTCCAAATACAGTCTGGTTTAACTACTAATGTAACAGGGGGTTCCCCAGGAAAGGGGGAGGTTCCAGGTTTCCTACCTTACCCAAGGGAGGGTGGAGCTGAAGAAGCTGCAGAGGAGACTGAGGAAGGAAGGAAGCAGGATGGAGCCAGAAGGAGACCTGGAGGAGGCACATGGAGCCGAGAGACATGTGAAGAAACTGCGCTGGCCTTGTGGTCATGGACTGGGTGACGCAGACGTGGACTAGAGACCTGTGGGGAGGTGACAATGACAGTTTTTGTCTTGATTTTGATTTTGCTCTTTTCCTCCCAGACTTGTCCGGTCGTTTCTGATGCTTTTCTGTGGGTCCCCAATGGATGCTTTAGACTGTGGCAGGCTTTGGGGCCTTGCTCTGGGCCCATCCTGCTTGGGTGGACTTTTACCCACGAGGGGATGGGTCACTTTGTGTGCTTGATTTAGAAACTAGATTCTCTGCCTTCCCTGCATTGTTTCCTAAGTGTAATAAAATTAGTTTTCACTAAATAAAGTCTCATAAGTTTTGTGTTGATGCGGCAGATGGCAGAACCTATTTGGAGCAGGCAGGTTTGGGGGGTCTGGGGGGTCCCTCTCCCTGCCTGCAAAACAATAACACTGTATCAGCATTGTTTCTGGTTTGATGATTATACTATGTTTATAAAAGATATTAATGTCACAAAAAGCATAGTGAGGGATGTATGGGGACGGCACTATTTTTGCAGCTTGTTTCAAGAACTTCTTAAAAATGAAATAAAATCTTGAGACAAAACTTGAGATAATATCCAATCAGAGAACTTTTCTAAAAAGTCACTCTCTTTATGCCTAGTCATGAAGAAACCACTCTATTTTTAAAAGTTTCATTCAGGAAAATTTGCTCCATTTTCAAAATTAGAAGGAAATACATCCTATTGATTCACAAAAGATTTTGAGAACAAATATAAATTCTGCTTGAGGATCGCCGGAGACACAGCCTGGAGTCTGTAAATAGTGTCTGCTCTGGTCCATTTAACAAGGCGCTCCCATGGTGGAAGCCACTATCAGATCAGAGAGGGGGGAAGGGAAGCAGCCCAGGAGACCCATGACTTGAGAAAAGAGATTGAAGGAAAAGATAGTCTGAAAGTTTTGCTGGAAGAAACAGAATTTTCCCTCTTCGCCTACTACCTACTTAGCCATCTTTCCATCAAATGGCATTTTAATTGTTTGTGTCTGCATAGTAGCTCATGGAACGTAAACTGAAAAAAATAATTTAAAAGCGGAGAGAAGGCCTCCCTGGTGGCTCAAGGGGTTAAGCACACCACTGTGAAGCTATCCACAGCCTCTGCTGCATGAGTTCAATCCCCAGTCGGCCGCAGAGCAATCCACATGGCGCAGCAGACCTCTCCTGGCTCACCCGCTGCTCCCCTCAGCAGTGTACTTCAGTCAGTCTGCCTGTTCTGTTCCCCACTCTGTCTCTGGTGGATCCTCTCACCCCCGCACCTCTGGCCTGTACCCCAGCTCTTGTATAAATAAATAAATCTTTTTAAAAATGTGGAGGAAGTAAAGTCAAGAAAGTAAATTCAAGTCCAGAAAGTCAAGAAAGTAAAGTCAAGCCAAGTCAAGAAAACAGTGAAAGAATCATGGGTTTTTTCAGTCTTTTAGGCAAAGGGAACAAGCAGATCAGCAACGAGGAAGCCGCAAGGACCAGGAGACACCATGAAGGTGAGGCACACCTGAGAGGAGCTGCAATTATAAACAAATCCCAGCTTTAAATCTCACAGGACCAGAATCACTGAGGTCACAGGCCAGCCGAAAATGAGCAGCTGCTTCCTGACCTTCCCAGGCTTGGAAGAAGTCTTTTTTTTTTTTTTTTTCCCCCTGCTCAGCCCTGGAGTACAATGGAGCAGAGAAGCCAGCTCAGCTGGGGATCCTGCCTGGCCCCAAGGCCACAAGTGCCTTCATGGACTTGCCAGCACTTTTGCAAGACTGGAGTGCCCTCCCCCAACACGCACCCAGTGTGATTACCCCCAAATCTCCTTGGTATTGCATCAGATGTGAACACTGCCTCGTAGGGTCGGGCAGCATGGTGACGTCAGGCTTCTGGTGCTCTGGAGAGCTTCATGGATACCCACGTCCTGGCTGAACTCAAGTCTTGCTTATGAAACAGAAATATGTGAGCACACCGCCCCTCTGGTCTGCACCCGAGGGTCAGGCATGCATGCTTGTCTGTCTGGCCCAGCACATGGCCACCCCCTTTCAGCCTCCCCCAGCTTCAGCATAGCTAGTGCCACTAGCTCTTAGCCTGGACAGTCATCCAAGTAGGACGAACATCTGATCAAGCTGGTGAATATTGCCGGCTGAACTTATACAGAAACATGTTTAGATCATTTTCCAAGTTTGAGAATTTTATTCAGAGAAGGGACTCATTTAAAAACAAAAAACAAGAATGGTTAGAGTGCTTGGATGAAGATGTTTATTTCTGTGTTTGCTTAATATGTATTATTCAAAACAATTATAAATAGCGTAAATATTCGACAACAGAGAAATGGTTAAGTGAACAAAATTCTATCAACTTGACAGGATAGTATGCACCCAATAAAATGTTAATTAGCCACATGACAAAGAAACTCAACATTTGTTTATGATATAATGTTAAATGAACAAAGTAGAATACAGAATTACATGTACGCTATGAGTAAAACTATAAAAATGATGTCTGCATGTGGACAGGGTCTGGAGTAAACATGAAAAATGAAAACAGCTTTCTTTGGGGTTTTTGTTATTGTCGCTATAATGCTGTTGCACAGTAAATAAAAAACTTTCAAATTAAAAGATGAAAGCGTTCCACCAAAAATGGAGCCATTTTCGGTGTGTGTGGGGGGATACTTATTTTGAGTATCTCTAAATATCTGAAAAAAAAAAAAACAAAACTCAAGCGTTGCTGCTTCAGGTTAGTATCTCCAAATAGCCCCATGCTAGCTTTCCCTGCAGGACTCTGCAGACCAGTGGACATGCAGAGGTAACATGTGTCTGAATCCCTCAAAGACCTTTTTTATAAACACAGAAACTCATCGTTCTGGTCACTGCAGACACTGGAGCTCCATCCTGAACTTGGGAAAAGCACCCCAAATAATTCAGGTTCCTCCTGGCCTCCCACAGAGGGTCACAAACCTGTGTCACAAACCATCATTGCATTTACTCTGCAAAAGGAGGGTCAGGAGGGACAATCCAGGTCTTGTTCCCTTTGCCCAAGAGAAGGAAGGACCTGGGGTTCCCTGACCGGTCCTTGTTCTAGAGCTGGACCATGAAGAAGTGGAACCTGAGCAAATGGTGGAGGCACCGCTCCTGGCCACAAAGGGTAGAAATCTGAGTGAATGAGATCAAGTCCAAGGGTTCTGCAGCCAGAGGAGTCAGAACCTGCCTCTTCTCAATATGGAGCTTCGAGATTCAGAGGGTAAGGAAAATTCACTTATTTCTTAAAAGAAAAAAATTAAATTCTATCCCTTAACTTTCTGCCCAGTTGTAACGTGTCGGTCACATTTTACTTCTCCATGACTTTGCAGAATACGCTGCTCCCTTCCCTGTGTGACTTGAGCCCAAGTCTTTGTCTATGAAGCTCCCATTTCTTCTCTGACAGGTGAGTCATGCTAACCCCCATCTTACAGGTGACAAAAATGAAGTTAAGTTAAACAGACTGCAGGCCTGAGATTCAAACCCCGATCTTAGCACTTAAAACCCCAACTTCGTTCCACCAACCCATGCTCCAGTCAGATGATAACCACATAAAGGGTTTTCCAGGCAATCTCGTAGTTATGAATTGTTTATATGTTAGCCCTCCCCACTGGGCTGTTAGCCCACATTACACACCTGGTACCCACTGAAGGAGTGCATTTGAAAGCTCTTAGCTGTGTTACATATACTCACAGGCACACTCACCGGGGCCTAATTCTCCACCTCCTCTACTATCTTCGCCAGGGGAGGGGCCCACAGTGGGCACTCTGCAGCCTGTCCTGAGTCTCAGCCTTCCTCAATAAGCCTCTAAGCTGGAATTCAGTCTCTCTTTTCCCCCTCAGCAAAATGGTGAAACCACAGCTTTACAATATTTCAATATTCTGGAAGGAGAAAAGATGCCAACTGCAAATATTGTTTCATTTATTTCATGAACTGCGTATTTCCAAATGCAGAAAGATGACCACACACATCCTTTACTAATACAAGAACAGACCTGCTGGCAGGAGGAAAAGCCTCCATGATGTGGTACGGGTCACTATGGAGCATGCACAGGCGCCCTTGTGGCTCTCCCTGCTCAGGGGCTTACCTACACACCTGTTGTCAGCCCATGCACCCCACCAGGTATAGCAGGTGGCAGGTGGGCAGAGGAAGGACTTGGCACTGCCTGGGGTGTGCTGGTCGATGTTTAATAGCCAGCTTTCTTGGGGACGGGTGGGGAAGTATTCCCTCATGTGTAGTTTTTGCCAATTTCCATGGCATAATATTGCCAATCTGGCCATTTTCAGGCCACCAATGTGACACTGCACAATTCTTGAAAAATTCATTCTAGGTTCTTGTGGGCCAGCCGAGGCCCTCTCAAGCACAGCCCAAGCCTGCTGTCCCTTTGATGATGGCATTTTATTTTTTTTAATTTTTAAGAGTTATTTATGCATATAAGAGCTGGAGTATAGATCAGAGATGTGGGGGATGAGAGGATTCACCAGGGAGAGTGAGGAGCAGAACAGGCAGATCAACTGAAATACACTGCTGAGGGGAGCAGCAGGCGAGGCAGAAGAGGTCTGCTGTGCCATGTGGGTCAGCTCCCTGGCTGGGGATCGAACTCATGCTGCAGTGGCTGCAGGTAGCTTCATAATGCTGAGACTTAACCCCTTGTGCCACCAGGGAGGCCCTTTTGGTGGCATTTTAGATGAACACTGTTGAGGAGATGAAGGGCTTATCAGATGTGGCTCCAGAAGTTCTCCGTAAATTCTATAAGCCAGGTCGGCACCACAGAACCTTTTTAACACACCAGTATTGTAACAGGGTGGTCCCCAGGAAAGGGGGAGGTTCCAGGTTTCCTGCCCCACCCCAAAGGAGGGTGGAGCTGAGCAGGAAGAGGAGAAGCTGGAGAAGAGACTGAGGAAGGAAGCAGGATGGAGCCAGAAGGAGACCTGGAGGAGGCGCATGGAGCCTAGAGACACGCGAAGAAACTACACTTACCTTTTGGTCGTGGACTGGGTGACACAGATGTGGGTGAGAGACCCGTGGGGAGGTGCTAATGGTGGTCTTTGTCTTGCTTTTGATTTTGCTTTTTTCCCTCCCGACTTGTCTGGTTGTTTCTGACCCTTTTCTGTGGGTCCCCACTGGAAGATGCTTTAGACTGTGGCAGGTTTTGGGGCCTTGCTCTGGGCCAATCCCATTTGGATGGACTTTTTTTTCTTTTTTTAGATTGATTTATTTATTTATACAAGCAGTGGGTACAGTCAGAAGCATGGGAGGGCGAGAGAATTCACCAGAGCCAGAGTGGGGAACAGAACAGGCAGACTGATGAAATACACTGCTGAGGGGAGCAGCAGGCGGCAGGAGAGGTCTATTGCGCCATGTGGGACCCTTGCTGGCGGCCGGGGATCGAACTGGCGCTGCAGAGGCTGCGGGCATCTTCACAGCCCAGCGCTCAACTGCTGCGCCACCGGGGAGGTCCCTGGATGGACTTTTACCCACGAGAGGATGGGTAACTTTGGGTGCTTGATTTAGAAACTATATTCTTTGCCTTTCCTGTATTGTTTCCTAATTGTATTAAAGTTCCTTCCCATTAGCGTCTCATATGTTTTGTGTTGATGTGGCAGATGGCAGAACCTATTTAGAGCAGGCAGGTTTGTGGGGTCTGGGGTTCCTGCCCTGTAACAGTATCACTAACCCGGTAAAACATGCTCTCTCATGATAAAATACAATGTTCACTACTAAAACTAAACTAAAAACTATAAATAAACTAAACTAAACTAAAACTATAAATAAAAATGCATATTTCTTCACATTTCTCCCGCATTGTAAAGGGGACTTATTCTTTGAGTGGCTCTGCTGGAGTAACCCACTCTTTAGTAATCTGTGTAACACCCTCCTGCTTCTCCCGAGTCTGATGACCGACCAACCTGTTTCTTAGTGAGGATGAGAAGACAGAGGGGACAGTGTGGCCCCTACTGGTCCGTGATACTAGACAGATGAACAGCTGCGGGCTGTCTGGAGGGAAAAGAGCAAAATCAAAATCAAGATAAAAACCGCCATGGTCACCTCCCCACTGGTCTCACCCACATCTGTGTTACCCAGTCCACGACCAAAAGACAAGTGTAGTTTCTTCACGTGTCTCTAGGCTCCATGCGCCTCCTCCAGGTCTCCTTCTGGCTCCATCCTGCCCTGTCCCTCTGGTTCCTAGGTGAAGGGAGAAGACAGGCAGAAAGAAACCAAGTAAGATTAATTTTGCAGGCATGGGAAAGGCATCCCCTCACCCACCCTATCTGATTTTACAAAGTCATTCACTTGACTGCACAGAGAGGGATTATAGGGGACTTGCAAATCTACATCAAGAATTTTTTTTTCCTTCTCCCCCCACCCATGCCTCCTTTCTTTCCCTTTATGTTGTCCAGGCATCTGCCTGGCTTCAAGCTCTCCTCAGGATTCTTCACCTATCTCTTTAGGGAACAAGTCTTGACTTGTTTCTCCAGAGGCCAGCCATGAGGACGTGTGTACAGCAGTTTCTGAGGGCAGTACTGGGGGGAGCCTGGGAAGAGAAGGGCAAGGAAGACAAAGGTGCAATTTCAGGCCACATCTGGCGGCCTGATCCCACAGGGGAGGCCCGAAGCATAAGTTATCCCTCACAGTTGTCACCCTCACCACAGGCAAGGAAGCGTTCATACCCCAGCTCCCCTTAGCCATTGATGGCAGGAGTAAATTTCACAGGTCTTCATACTCACCTCAGTGCGGGCAGCAGAAACAGTTGTGGTGCTGGCAGGAGGGAAGGGAAGGCGCCCTGGAGAGAATGCCATGAACCCTCTCACTCCCCGTAACTCTGGCCCACACCCCAGTTCTTGTATGCATAAATAAAAATAAATTTAAAAAAAAAAATGGCAGGGCCTCCACTAGTGGTGCAGCAGTTGAGCACTGGGCTGTGAAGCTGCCCGCTGCCTCTGCAGTGCTGGTTCAATCCCCGGCTGCTGGCGAGGGTCCCACATGGTGTGACAGACCTCTCCTGCCGTGCCCGCTGCTCCCCTCAGCAGTGTATTTTGTCAGTCTGCCTGTTCTGTTTCCCACTCTGGCTCTCACCCTCCGGCATTTCTGACTGTACCCCCCAGTACTTGTATAAATAAATAAATAAATCTTAAAAAAAAAAAAAACGGCAGAGGGAACCAGCAGGGGCAAACTTCAGAGCAGAAGAAGAGAAGGAGAGTAAGGGAGAGAGCACAATGTTTGATGACCCTCCTGTTGAACAGTTTTAACTGGGGTTCCAGAAACCCATCATCATACCAGGAGGCAGAACAATAACAAAAGAGAACTGGAAACTATGCGAGTCTATCTGGCTTTTTTTCTCATCACAATTTCCTTGCCTAGAGGCTAACCACAGGGCCAGGCTTCTTAAAATTTCCTTTTGATTCTTCCCTGTCTTCAGCCTCCTTGCACGACAGTGGCAACCTTGGTCCCTGACAAAATACTCCTCAGCTCTTCCTTTCTCTGCCTTTCCTTCCTGACTTTGGTGTAAACCTCAAACTTTACCCTGTCTGACCCGAGACTCTGGAAATGACAGATAGGAAACAACCCAGCACAAGCCAGAAAGCTCTTCAGGGAATTAGGGGACTAGCCTTAGGCCCTATGGTTAGCCTCTAGGCAAGGAAATTTCCGTCAGAATGAAATGGTTCTTTGAGAATATAATGGGGACAGGCTTCTAGACCTTTGTTACTAACTGATTGGATGACCTTGGACATTTCATCACTCTGAGCTTCAATATCCTCATCTGTAAAATGGGAATGATAATGACAGGACCCAGTGTACAGGCTCGTTACAGGATTAAATGAGTTAATTCCTATAAAGCACTTAGGTCTGGACTGAGCACAGAAACCTCCACATAAATGTTGATTAAACAAAATCCAATTGTTGCAAGCTGCTAGAGCTCATCCCCGAGGTCAGGCATGCTGGAATGAAATGTTTATAAAGACTAAAATGATAAAAGACAGTAACAAAATTTTCCAAAGTTATTGATGGCATCAAAGAAAAAAAATGTGCAAGGGAAAAATAGGCTAAAATGGTGTAGTAAAACTTAATGGAGTGGAGTAAGATAACATTTTAGAGCTTACTGGAGAGCAAACATGGCTTAAACAATCAGGAGATCAGTGCTGGTCTTTAAATTTTAGGATGTACTCAAGTCCGGGGAATGCTGTTCCGCGGTTCTGGTATGAAGCGAGGCCCTGGGTGCCTGCTTCGGGAAGCAAAGACCAGGTAAGCACATTTCCCTGTTCAGTGAACTTCCTGGAGCTGATTCCTTCCTGAAAGAAAGCTTCCCTTGCTGGGAAATACCTGAAGATGGAGAAAGTTCTACCAGATGCTCAGGGGTGCCAGGCGTGAGCGCCACATACTAACTGGTAACAGGCAGGCCAAGCTATTACTCACTGATGTTAACAATTAGTGTCACTCAGCCGCCTAAGACCCTGCAGTACCTTCCCAGTGCACACCCCGGCTTGCACCAGAAAGCCCATTATGATCCACCAAAAAACCCTCTCCATCCCGATTTCTTCTACTCTGCCACCCCTCGTGGCCCCAACCCTCCTAGACCTACCTGTGGGACCACAAGCCATGCTCATGCCCCCTCAGGGCTTTGCATGCTCTGCTCTCTTAGTGGGAAGCCCCTAACTCCCTCTCATCCCACAGGTTTCAGCCTTCCTGGGGACCCTGCTACTCCTGCCCAACACCTTGTTTAATTTCCTCATTTAATTTACTACAATTTTTAACTGTACATTTTCTTAGTTATTTTTAGTTTGCTGTTGTCTGACTTCCCCACTAAAAAAGGGATGGTATCATGTCTTATGAGAGATAGTGTTGCTCTTAGTTGTATCCTAAGCACCTCCTGTAGGTTCTAACACGTGGTAAGAGTTCAGTAAATACCCAGGGAGTAAAGAATAAATGAATGAGTGAATGAATGGTGAATCAACAGTTCAAAGGGAGTCGCAAACACAGGCATGAATTCAGCACATGACTCTGACACTCAGTCTGTCACCGAGTGTTGACACGGAGTTACATGTCACAAGCACGATATACCTGTGTCTTTTGCTCGTACCTGCCACAGGTTATCAGAACAGATCCTGATCCCTGACAGGCACACAGTAGGCGCTGCCATTATTATCGCTCCCCATTGAAGTGTTGATGGTTCCAGTGCTATCTCTGTTTTCCAGTACATAGAAAAGCAACCTCTGGTCTCACTTGTCTCCTGTCACCTGCCCCTCAATAAGCAAATGACAATAACTCCTATTTACAAAGGTGAACATGTAGCGCTGTCCGTGTCTAGAAGGCGACAGGCCAGACCTCACCCCAAAGGTCTCCACTGTTGCGGAGAGTGTGTTCAAACACCAGGAGGGTGTGTGGTGGCTCAGCTCCCTGCTTGTGACATCAGACAGGCAGCCTCAACACTGGCAAAGGGGGGGACCAGCCCACACAGCATATGGACCTGCAGCAGAGCATATGGGTCTGATCCTAAAGAAGGGGCCCCCATATGCTCCAGGAGCTGGATCTGCCTTGCCCACTCCCAGCCTCCCCACACTTTTGGCTGGTTCATAAATCAACCGCTCCCCACTCTCCCAGTGCACCGGCTGATCCATGTGTGATTAATGCACACATTTGCCTGCAACCTGGAGAGAACTCCAGGTACAGGTGGAGAGGAAGGAAAAAGACTTAATTGGTGTCGGGGAGGAGGAGGAGGGAAGAGGAGGTCATCCCTCATTGCCATCGAGCCAGCACTATCTTTAGAAGTTTGGCTTTGTGAGAATGAGTTTTCTTGGAAATCTTTCTTACAGTCTCCTCGGGAGCCCCTCTGCAACCTGGGATATAGCCTGAAACTTATACGTGAAGACTCAGGAAGGCGAGTGCTCCCTTCCATCCTGTCCTAGCCTCTTTGACCCTCCTGGTCTCTTCCTCTGAGCTTAAACATGCATTGGACTCTGTAAGGAAGCAAGAGGCTGGGGTCCCTGGAGACAGGGAGACTAGATGTGCCAGGCAGCAAATCTACTCCGCTGTGTTTTAGGCCATGTTTTTCCAGATGTGCTCAATGGAGGGTAAATGGTTTTGTGCAGTTACCACAGAAAGGGAGGAGCTGGTTCAATCAGAGCAATTCTGCTTTTGCTGTGGTTTTACACACTGGGCTTTTCAAACACGACTTAATTGTGATTTTTGTGAAGAATTGCATAGCTAAAAAAGTTGAGATTCACTCAAATTAGAACTACTGGCAAAGACAGCTAGAATTGTAGTCTTAAAAAGATACAATAATAAAATGAACAATGGCTACCATTCTCTGGACAGGAGACAGGCAGTACTTTGGTTGACTGTAGAAACAATGGACACTTTGCCATTTGGAGGCTGAATAACCTTTGGCAAGAAACTTGCCTCCCTAAATCTCAGTTTCTTCATCTATAAACAAAAACATCAGACTTTCAGGGGACACTGAGATGACCTGTGCATGGCATTTACATGAGGCCTAGAACATAATAAATAATGACCCCTATATATTTGCTATTACTTTCCTTATTATTCTGTATGTCATTTATTGTCATAAGCACATTAATTATGTCATCATTAGTCTTCACACCTCTATTACCTGAAGCTTTATTCCAATTTTATAGATTTTGGAAACAGAGGGACAGAGGTTAGCCTTGAACATCAACTCCCATCACTGAGAATACAGGTGTTCTAAGGAACCTCGCTTGATAATCATCCCTCTAGCTCCTCTGTTTTATTCATACTTCCCTAAAAACATTAGGAAATTTGATGTGATTAAACCTTTTGCTTCCTTTTCTTGCATTTTTTCTCCTGTAGGCACTCATCCATCTCTCTATTGAACTGCCCGTCTGATTCAATCAACTTTTACAAAATGCCTACTTAGTGGCAAGATTCTTAGAAAAGCCACTACACTTCTTTGAAGAGCAAAGTTCCTTTCAGTAAAATGGGGGTATTGAGATGAACTCTACTATAGGATTTTTACAGAGAGTGAAATAAATTATCTAGAAAGACTTTTTACCTGCAAAGTGTTCTCCCCACCCACCCCAGCTGCCTGAGACATTCCTGTTACTGTAAGTAGCATCCTTTTATTCTCACAAAGGTCCCCTTTGTAGGATAATCCTATACCCACCTTTGTAATGAAGATGGCAGTGCGAGATGTGTGGATTCACACTGGTTTTGCCTAGAGGGCGGTGGCTACTGCTTCCCCTGCAGAGGTTGCAAGACCATATTAGGGATAAGAATGACTCTGAGCTTGTTTGAAGCATTGGCTGTTCACTTCTATTTGCAAGGAATCCATGCAACACACAACTCTCAAGGATACTCAGGTTTAAGAGATGAATTGGTGGCGGTGGAGGTGGGGGAAACTGGGAAGGGCTGTTTGTGGAATGTAGTTCTCATTTATTTACCAACCCTGAACTTGTACATCCCTGGAGAGTCCCTTGTAGGAAATAAGGAATGATTTTGCTTTCTGCTTGTTGTCTAGATTTCACCTACTTGTCAGTGCATTGGAATAACGCATTCAAAGCAACTACAAAGGTTCGGAGATGGTTTGTGAACAGCTACCACTGACTTCCTTGGCACCTTGAAAGAGTCACTTAATCCTCTGTGACACTGAACTCCCTCATCTCAACAGTGAGTTTGTAATCCTTGTCTCCTTGATTCAGCTGAGCTAAAGGATATAACAGCTGAGCTAAAGGATGTAACAGTTAACTTTTGCTGTGTAACAGATCATTCCACAACTTATTTCACAACTCTGTGGTTGGGCTGGACTTCTGGCTCACCGTCTGCTTGGAGACAGGTGAGCAGCCAGTTGACCTGGAATGGCCTCAGGCATATGTCTGTCCTTGTTTCAACCAAGCTGTTGGCCAGACAGCCTCAGCTCCTCTCTGTGTCACCGTTCATTCTTCAGCTCATTAGCCCAGCTCATCTATCTGGCTTCAGTTTTCCAAGCAAAAGAGTAAGCTCCAGGCTCACTGTGCTGAGCACTGTCTAGTGTTTTGCCTTTTGTCCTCACACCTCTATGCCAAGTTGGTAATATTTAGATGAGAAACCAAAGGGCATGGTCTTGTCAGTCTTTCAAGTGCCTGCTTGAATCAGTTCACTTTCTCTATGGCCAAAGCAAGCCATGTCCAGATGAAATCAATGGCAAACTGACTCCCCCTCTCAATGGAAGCAAAGTCATCTCACAGTGCAAGGGCTTGGAAGCAGGAGGAAAAGAATTTCTCACCATCTTTACAATCCACCACAAAAATCAAGTGAGATATGTGAGGAAACTTCCTATGAACCACCGCCACATATAAAACCTATGTATTCTGGATCAAAGAGCCCCCTTAAAGCATTTTGGGGAACCCAATAGCTCTAATTAAATTCCCAAGCTGTAATTAAGGGCTCCGTCTGCCACTGATAGGTGCCGATATATGCCTCTTCCATCTTCCACTGCACCTTGTTCCTCTACTGGCCTCAGGGGTTGCTGTTCCCATCAAGCTGCAGTGTTCCTGACAATAGTGCAGCCCTCTGCCAGGCTTGGCAACATCTCCCCAGAAATTCCATCCAGTTCTGGTCCCACAAGATCCAATATTGTCACCCTGGGTTCCAGAACTTACAAAGTGGATGGAAATGCTTCCCCTTCCTCCTTTGATTGTTACTTTCTTTCAGGGAAACCTCAAGGTAACTTTGCTGGGGTCCTCTGCCTCCTGGCATTTTCCAGTAAAATAATTCTGTTCATCCTCACTATAGGTTCCCACTCCAGGATCATAGACATATTAGCCTGGAGGCAAATCTAAGACATCAGCCACCAGGAGGGACCCTCCAGTGATTCTCCCACTTACAACTCTTAAAGGTTTTATAAGGCAAAGCTTGACAAAGTTGATGTGTTGTTTCTATGGAACGAGCTCACTCCCAGGAGGTTCCTCAGAATCTCCTTGAAACAGATTTGAGTTGGTTCCTCTACTCTGTAAGAATACAGGCTCTGGGGGCAGAAATCAGTTCCAGGCTGGACTCTTTACTGTGATCTCAGCAAATCAGGAGTCTCTCTGAGCCTCAGTTTCTTTATCTGTGAAATAGAGATAATGAAACCCCTAATCTGTTAGAACTATCATGATGGCTAAATTACATAAAGCTATAAAGGAATAGAACAATGCAGTGGAACAATAAATGTTGATCTTGGTTTGTAAGGGCTTCATTATTCTTACAGAAAGTGAGCACTGCTGAGCCTCTCGCTGGGAGAGGACAAGGACTTGCCAGTGAAAAGCCAAGAAGATGGGGGTGCTGTTTCTGTCTGCATGCAGCGCTCATGCCTGGCCCTCAGGACAGAAGGCCAGCTCTTATCAATAACTCAGATTTCATGGGATCCAGCAAAAAACCCGCTTTCTTTTGTCTTTCCATGGCAAGTCCATTTTGTAGGGGAGTTAAGGTGCTCCGGTCCATCTAACTATTTCAGTTCCTGTCTGAATGTCTGCCAGGCTGTTAGGAGAGTGTTGGTAACAAAGATAAAAAAATGTATTTATAAAGAATGTGAGTGAGTGCGTATAGATGTGTGGGTGTTTTTGAAAGTCTGTATAAGTGAACTCCTGATTCAGGATTTGTCTGTGCTGGGGGCAAAGGCTGTCTTGTGCAAGTCTCGTTAGGAGAGTGACTGGTTGAAAGCCAGACCCAGATTATCACAAATGGATGCAGAGGGAGGCTGAAAATCAGGCCTCCTGCCCACTCAGCAGTTCTTGGCGCTGGCCCCATCTCTGCCATATAATGCTGTTCCTGCATTAGATGCTGCAAACACAATTGACTTCTATTACTTATAAAGCCAACCACTTTACTTCATTTAAACATTTAGGATGGACTTCAGAGATTTCTGAGAGGCTGGACGACACAACCAGCCACAACCAGTCCATCCTCAAGCCACCACTCAGACTGCATAACAAGAGAATATTCCTTCATTCTACATTCAGCATCCAGTCTCCATTAGAGAAAGCTTTAAAGGTTGCTATTTCTGCATTTGAAAGGTTTAATCCGAATATACACATTCCAAAAATCTTCTGTTCTTGTCATTTATTCCTTAGATCCATATTCAATGTGCCATCCTTGCACTAGACTGGGGAATATAAAAATAGATCATATATTGAAGAAACCTTCAGGATGCTCACAATCTATCATGGGAAATAGAGGCAAAGAAATTGGAATGACATAATGGTACTAATGCTTGATGATGACCAAAAAACAAGGTCACTAAAACTCATCAAGGAAGATATGAGAGAATCAAGAATGGGTTAAGAGTTGAAGAGATGTTCCAACGAAATTCTAAAGGAGCTTAGAATTTTTTTTTAATGAGAAAAATGGAATGAAAAGTGTTCTGGGCCAAAAAGTGTTGGGAAAAAAGTGTAGAAATTGAATTCAGGCAGATTTGGCTAAAGTCATGGCAGCTGGCTTGACCTTGGTGAATTTCTTCATTTTCCTCAGATTAAGCTACCTCCTCAACAAAATGGGGCTAATTGAGCTTCCTAAGATTAAGGTGGAGGTTAAACATAAGCAAATGACTAAGAGGAATGTGACCCATGGCGGACACTCATTACATAGTGTCTGTTATTATTAAATTGTGAGGCCAGAGCTAATAGCAGGAGCAACAGACCACAAAGGGCTCCCTTGGGGGGATTTATCCTATAGACAAAGACTCCTACTGATGGTTTTAAGCCAGGAAGTAGCATAGCCATGTTTTGATTTCATTAATGATGAGATTAAAGATGAGCTGAAGGGATAACTAAGGACTGATGACAAAACCATGAAAATACTTAGCTTACCCTTAATCATACAAGGACAAATTTTCTGAATAGGAACCTTCCATCGCAAGATGCTCATCCTTTTCATGAAGTCTTTAAGTTTGGGGCATGAATCCTATTGGACATTTTGTTCAACATCTGAATTTCTTCACCATGGAAAATTGACTCACATGTCATCTAAAAATTATGAAGCGAGAGGATCATCACTTTCGACTCCTAGTGTTTCACCCTCCCTGCTTCTTCACACCAAGACGTGGCTCAAGTTACACCGGCATGGATTGAGGAACAGGCATTTCTCTGGCAGTTTCTGTTTCAGCTTCAAAAACTCCCAGTGGAATACTGTCCTCTTGGTACTTCCTCAGGGTATATGCTTCCTGCAAAGAAAACAAAAATTCTAAAGACTGTGTGTGTGCGCATGTGTGTGTGTGCATGTGTGTGTGTGCACTCCTACCCATGAACATCCAGTGACCTTCCATCATGAACCTCAAACATCATGTCCTAGGGAACAGTCCCTGACTCAGCCTCCACCCCCTTCCCTGTGGAAACAGTTTGCACCTACCATCTCATTAGTTTCATGGTGTTGCAATTAATTCCTTGTCCATGCCTGCCTCCCTAACTCCCAAATCTGAGAAATGAAAATTTCCCTATCTTTACTTCCACCACAGGGCACAAAGCCTGGTAGACAGGAATCAAATCTTCTTGAGTAGATACATGTGAGTCCAGTATCATTTCAAAGTCCCCCAGATTCCAGTTTTGTCCTGAGCGAGGTTAGGACTTACACACCACTGGGATGACAACATAAATCAGGGAACCTCCAGGCCAATGCAGGCTCCTAACTACTCTGCCTTCTGCTGTCTGTACACACGAGCAAGGAAGCTGCTTGCTCACAGAGCCATGTGGATTAGCGGAGAGTAGATGTGCATTTCTGGGACAAGCTCTGACCTGTGGGAACTGGAAGCTGTTCATCCTTCATGCCACCAGTGTCCCAGGAGAGGGGCTATATTATTTGTGTTAGAACATACCTGGCTCACCGAGGCTGGAGCTGCTACCGGTGACTATATGTGAACTTTCCTGAAATGTAGGCTGGTTTGAATCTGTGGTCTCTCTGTGAAGGGCAGGTCCCTTTATCATTCAGTTGAGAGGGAATCAGAAAACTATAGTTATGTGCTAAATCCAGTCTGCAATCTGTTTGTATAAATAAAGCAACATGCATGTGTTTATATAAATTCTATGGCTGCTTTCAGGCCAAAGCACTGGCGTTCAGTAA